TTTTAATGTCTTTTATCTTTTGATTTCGTATTATTTTTTACTGTTTGGGATGGGATGGGATGGGATGGGATGGCATGCGATGGGATGGGATGAAATGGTATGGGATGGGATGGGATGGGATGGAATGGGATGGGATACGATGGGATGGCATGGCATGGCATGGCACTGAATGTGATGAGATGGGATGGGATGGGATGGGATGGGATATGGGATGGGATGCGGTGCGATGGGATGGAATGAGATGGCATGGAATGGGATGGATGGATGCATGGATGCATGGATGCATGGATAGATAGATAGTTAGATTTCCTTTTTCCCTTTTTTCCTTTTACCTACCTTTTTAGTATGTATTATTTTTAATATTTAATTCATTTTTAATTTATTAATTTATTTAATTAATTATTTTTTTAGTTTATTAATTATTTTTATTTTTAATGTTTTTTCTCTTTTGATTTCTTATTATTTTTTACTGTTTGGGATGGAATGGGATGGGATGGCATGGGATGGGATGGCATGGGATGGCATGGGATGGTATGGGATGGCATGGGATGGCATGGGATGGGATATGGGATGGGATGCGGTGCGATGGATGGGATGGCATGGCATGGGATGGAATGGCATGGGATGGCATGGCATGGCATGGGATGGCACTGAATGTGATGAGATGGGATGGGATGGGATGCGGTGCGATGGAATGGGATGGGATGGCATGGAATGGGATGGATGGATGCATGGATGCATGGATGGATGCATGGATAGATAGATAGTTTTGGGGGTATTTTCCTTTCAACCAAGCGGTCACCAGCTGAGTAACGCCACTGATTTCCCGGGGCAACGCCGGGTATCCCACTAGTCCGTTAATAGAAACTATATAAGTACATCTTTGTACATGCATTCTATCCTTGGCGATTGCCGTGCGCTAGGTACGCCGAAATAAATTTGTTTTGTCGCTTCAAGCAGGGGAATTTGGTATATTAAATCTATCATTCCGATTGATTGCCTATGCACACTTTTGAACGCTCTAGAAATATGTTAGGTCTTTTAGACGCATTGAAATTCCATCGCTACCAGCGTGAACAACTTTAGGGATTGGATTGTGCAGTTGCCATAGATTGGCCACGTGAACGGGTGGCAGACTGACAACGAACGCATCTCCTAGGCGTCGTCACATAAGAGAAGCTAACAGTTTTGCGCAATGATGCGGCCATATTTATTCACGTATAACTAAGTAAACGACGGATTGCGTACGTATGATGCATGAACAGTCAATCGAGATCGTCTGTCCTCGTGTATATGCTGGACAACTCTACGAAATAGAAATGAGCATATGCAGTGTAGACTGTAAATGGATATGACATTTAAGCGCATTGGCGGTGCAATTTTCTGTCATCGGCTGTATACGTGCCTGTGACATATATTATACAATTATTGACTGGGTGGTGAAGGAAACGTGGAATTGCTGGGAGAGTCAATGTTACCCAAGACCTGAGGTCAAAGGTAATATTTATTTTCGAGCTCCCAAAATTCTATGTTGCCAGAACGACCCGGCTATAATTATTTTGTTACATGCAAGATCCGAAGTAAATAATTCTAATGGTTAAGGAAATATGGCACGAATTTTCAGTCTGTCGTCTTAGACTTAGCTCTTAGTCTAGCATTAATCTACTTGTGATTTATTATGCGTAATTCAATAAACATAAACCCAAGAGGTGCATTTAACATTCAATCAGCCTGTCCTCTAATCGATGTTTTCTCAATCATAATCGCAATCCAGAGAGGTAGCTTAAAATCCGCGACAATAGGGCAGTCTACGGTCCCTTTCCAGTACGAACAGAATTCTGTTTGATTAAAAGTTTCAAATAGTTATTAAAATATGTTTATCATAAGTTTACCGATTGATTCATCGCTGCTTTCTTTCAGATACAATTGGAAATCGAAGCCTAATAAAGGACAAATCCAGTATTCCACCAACTCTCAGTAAGTATATTTTACACTATTTCACGTGTATATACAGGAATCGCACGAGTAAATGCGTTATAAGGACATATGTGAGATCATTACATTAGATGATTAGATTATATTAACATATGGAACTTATTTCAATGCCTCTCTACACTAACAAGGCAACATTAAGTAGGCTCCTTCAACGATAAGCATGTATTTCATTAACCCAGTGCACGTGGAAAGATTTGTAACGAACACGTTCAGGAAATGCTACCAATATATCTCATACCCTCTCAGCACGCACGCGGAGGTAGACAAGGAAGGCTTGCTGAATAAACCTTTTGCTAAGAATTTTTGGTTGAATATGAAATCTTTACTAATTATTTGCACCAACATAAACTCTCCCTCTCTACCTCCCCTCTCTCTTCACTGCTGGGTTCATGCAGAGGTCACTCTCTCTCTCTCTCTCTCTCTCTCTCTCTCTCTCTCTCTCTCTCTCTCTCTCTCGCTTTCTCTCATCTTGATTTCGCTTTCTCTTACCCTTATTTAACTTCCTCATTCGTTTCACCTTCTTCTTCTTTCTCTCATGTACTGACGTTTCCTCGCTCTCTAGTTAATTCCTCGTAAGGTTGAGATTATGGTTTCCGCCTGATTTCTCTGGTTAGTTTGCACAAATCGTTCGCATAACTAATTCATGAACATGGGGAGGTTTAATGTTCCGCAGTGTAAAGTGTGCGGTTATGCTGCGACACGAAATTGCACTTAAACGCCAAGACAAAGTGCACTCCAATATCGCTAAAAGATTATAAACATCAACTTGCAATACGTTGCCAATTTAATTTAGACACCGTTCGTTTATCCGAGTGCAAAGTTAACGCCTAACAAATCGCCGACCGACGCGCGGTATCTTTGATGATACTGCTAGGCTAAAGAACTAAGGTGATAATACAACTCTCCTGATCTCCCACGTCTCTCTCTCGTGCGCTTTCTCTTTCTCTCTCTCGCGCTTTCTACTCTCTCTCTCTCTCTCTCTCTCTCCCCTCGCGCTCTCTGTTTCGTTAACTCGTTTCCCTTCTTTTATATATATTTTTTTATTTATTTAGCGCTGCGGTGTAATTCTATTTACATCTGTATAGATTAGTTCACAAGAGAAGCCAGTAGTGGCGGTACTATCGCGCTGCGCTAATATTACTATATGCTATTCTCGGGTTACAGTTACGCCTCTATTACCACATGTTTGGCCATCACACGGGATCGTTAGAGGTAGCCGCACAGGAGCGCAGCTTGGCGCGCAGCATCCACGAACTCTTCAAGAAGTGGGGTGAAAACGAACAGTACTGGGTCCGTGTCGCCGTACCTCTGCCGAGGATCACCGAGAAGTGAGTGCTGGTGTGCAGTGTCGGTATACCCTCGGTGTAGAATATATTCGCGGCGGCAGCAGCAATTTATGTGAGTGTGATTGCGTACGCGTGCGCTTGTGCCTTTGTGTGTGTGTGTGTGTGTGTGTGTGTGCGTGCGTGCGTGCGTGCGTGCGTGCGTGCGTGCGTGCGTGCGCGCGTGAGTGTGTGCGTGTGTAGGACGTATAGCCGGTTATATTCGCAAAAGTGATTGCCAAGTATGGAGCCAGGCTTCGAGAGTATAATCATTAAACATGTGTTATCAGCTTGGCTTTCATCAAATTAGGAAATTTTGAAACGTAGTACCTTGCACACTGCACATCATTCGGGTCAACGGGATAGGTGAGGTAGATGCGTAGGTAGTGAAATGCCAAATCGAATTACAGTCAAGTTAGAGGATTACCGCTACTGTTATGTTTGTCAGAACTGTTGGCAGTCTTAATTGTTGTCGTTGTTGCAATATTAAGATCGTTACTGATACACTTAATTGTTTTTTATCCATTTATTTAAAATAGGTACATAATCAAAATCAAGGCAACAAGAGGGTACCGTTTTCGAGGCGATATAGCTATCGACGATGTATCTCTGAGCCCGGAGTGCTTTGGAATCGGTAAGTAGAAACATTCATCATTTACGTGTATCTAGTCTACTCTTCCTCTCTCGCCCCCTCGCTCTCTCTCTCTCTCTCTCTCTCTCTCTCTCTCTCTCTCTCTCTCTCTCTCTCTCTCTCTCTCCCTTTCCCTTTTTCCCCCCCTCCCCCCCCCCC